GCATCCTCGCGCTCTGGTCCGCGTTTTTCCTTAATAATTCAAAAACGAAGCTTCAAACCCCATTTCTGCAAAGGGAAATCTCATTCGGAATCAACTCCCCTCATTTCAGAGATGTGTCTTACATTGTGACCTACAGTTGTGGGCCACCCTGTAGTATCCATATATCTCGTATAACCCAAGCCGTATCCCACAGAGTCATAGGACAAAGAACAGAGTGCAGGATCCGTTCCACGAAGAGCACATTCAAGCGGTTCTCTCCAGGACAAGAAACAGAGCCTCGTGGAAATTCGACGTCCACTTGACCTCCTCGAGAGAATCTAATTTTAAGACATCTCGAGCCTCCTTCGACCTCTGTGATGATCAACGACCATGGCGCCAGGAGCAACGACCCTGAGCGTTCTGCTGCTTCTGACGATCACCGGCTGCACGACCGTCAACGTCTTCGACAAATCCTACTCCGAGACTCTGAAGGTTGTCAGGCTTCCGGGAGGCTACATGGAGCTGCTCCAGAAGGAGCACTGCTCGCATCAGCTCCTCAGACTCTCGTGCAGGTCCTTGAAGGCTTTTATCTTCGTCCTGGAAGCGGAGTACCTGTCGAACTTCACTCAGATTTGCGGGTACGAGTCGAAGAGGAAGAACACGACGCCAGGTAGCAGCTCTTACAGGAAGAGGTTGAAGGGGAACTATATTTATGAGGACGAGCAGCAGGTGGTGGATATCAGGAAGTCGCTGAATAGGAGGTAGGACATTTTTAATTGGGGATTTTTAGATTGTTTATAAATTTTGCATCTGGGAAATTTTGGGTCTAGGGAATTTTGGAACTAGAGAGATTTTGAATCTAGGGAATTTGGAAATTGGGAAATTTTTGAATTTAGGGAATTTTGAATCTGGGGAATTTTTGGTCTAGGGAATTTTGGAACTAGGGAGATTTTAAATCCGGGGAATTTTTGAATTTAGGAAATTTTGAATCTGGGAAATTTGGAATTCGAAGAGTTTCGAGTCTGAGAAATTTCGAATTAGGGGAATTTTGGATATGGGGGATTTGGGATTTGGGAAATTTTGGATTTGCGGCATTTAGAATTTAGAGAATTTGGGATTTGAATAATTGGGAATTGGGGAAATATGGAATTTGGGAAATTTTGGATTTGGGGAATTTCAGATCTAGGGATTTTTGTTCTAAGGAATTTTGGACCTGAGGAGTAGGAAATTTGGGGAATTGTGGATCTGGGGAATTTTGGATTTGGGAAATTTGGAATTTGAAGAATTTTGGATCTAGGAAATTTAGAATTGGGAATTTTGGATCTGAGGATTTATGGATATAGGGAATTTTTGTTCTAGGGAATTTTGGGTCTATGGAATTTGGGACTTGGAGAATTTTGTGATTTTTATATTTTGTACAAATCTTGTGATTATTATATGTCTTATGAATTTTGTAATTTTTATATTTTTTATAAATCTTGTGATTCTTATATTTTTTATGAATTTTGTGATTTTTACATTTTTTATGAATTGTGTGATTTTTATATTTTTTATGAATTGTGTGATTTTTATATTTTTTATGAATTTTATGATTTTTATATTTTTTATGAATTTTGTGATTTTTATATTTTTTATGAATTTTGTGATTTTTATTTTTTTTATGAATTTTGTGATTTTTATATTTTTTATGAACTTCGTGATTATTAGATCGTTAATGAATTTCAAGATTAATTTTGTCATACTTAAATTGTTTATGAATTTTGCAATTTTTACATCGTTTATAATTTTCAATATTAATTTTTTGATTTTCAGAAATGTTTCATAAAATTGTTATTGCGATATATGATCATATCTTCGGTAAAGTTCCGCGCAAAATAAGTACCTTCACCGACTTCTCCATAGACAGTTAATTTCCTCCCCTGCGTTCCGCGAGTGCAACCCCTTATTTACAAAGTTCATCGAGCTGTGGCCATAACGCGAGATGCACTGTGTCGGAAACGATTTCTCCTTCGGCGGGCATCGATCGTCGCTCAAAAGGCAATTAAAAACTTCGCGTACGCTTAGGTGGCTCACATCAAACGGCGATTTTGCGTGTCGAGATTCCGTTTCCACCCTCGAAGACACGCCGCCGTGCGTGGAACACAAAAGAGCCGAACTCCGATGACAAAGAAGGGTTGCGAGAGCTGTTTAATTTCGCTGAATTACGTTCGATTTCAACCGCGCGATTCTACTCCCCTCTCTATGTGAACTGTGACATTTGGCGGCGGCAATGGCGTGAATATAATATCGTGGTGTTGAGAAAAAAGGGAATACAGGAAGAATCGATTCGTGTATAAATATTTGATCCCTTGCATATTTTTATGAATAGCAAATAGATTGGTGGAAGATGAAATGGATTGAAACGGACTATTATGGAAAATTTTTGAGGTAAAAGGTGTTAGGTTATGTAACACTTGTTTTGAGAGAAAAGTTGAGAGAGATATGTAAGTTCAAATATAATTTAATTTAATTTTAATCCATTTTATTTTAATATAATTTTGAATATAATTTTACAGAAATATTGGGAGTATTAATATTGGATAAATATTGAGAATATTTTGTTAAGGAAAAATATGTTAAGTTGCACTTTGCTGTCAGAAAGAAGATTATGTTGTGAGAGATACATAAGTTCAAATATAATTTAATTTGATTTTAACCCATTTTATTTTAATATAATTTTGAATATAATTTTACAGAAATATTGGGAGTATTAATATTGGATAAATATTGAGAATATTTTGTTAAGGAAAAATATGTTAAGTTGCACTTTGCTGTCAGAAAGAAGATTATGTTGTGAGAGATACATAAGTTCATATATAATTTAATATAATTTTAACCCATTTTATTTTAGTATAATTTTGAATATAATTTTACAGAAATATTGGCAGTATTAATATTGGATAAATATTGAGAATATTTTGTTCAGGAAAAATATGTCAAGTTGCACTTTGCTGTCAGAAAGATTATGTTGTGAGAGATACAGAAGTTCAAATATAATTTATACTTGAATAATTTTGAATATAATTTTACACAAATATTGGGAATATTAATATTAGATAAATATTGGGCAAATTTTATCAAAATTTTGTTAAGGTAAAATGAGTTAAGTTATGTTGCATTTTGTTGTCAGAAAAATGGTTATATTAAGAGAGATACATAAGCTCATATATAATTTGTATTTGAACATAATTTTAAATATAATTTTACATAAATATTGGAGGTATTAATATTGGATAAATATTGGGCAAATTTTATCAAAATTTTCTTAAGGTAAAATGAGTTAAGTTGTGTTGCACTTTGTTGTGAAAAAAAAGGTTATGTTGAGAGGCATATGTAATTTATACTTGAACATAATTTTGAATATAACCTTACCTAAAGTATGCAGTATATAAAATTAAAAAATATACATATAATGATTAAAATTGGTCGGTAGTCGTCTTTATTATGACTTTGTATCTCACAACGTAGCGGTAGAAATGATTTTTTAGTTCTGTGGTCACTTGTAATCGAATATTCTGTGCTCTCTGTTCTTTTTTGCGGATGTCTCGTGGGTGACTCATGTTACCACGGTCGGTGATTGTGTCGAAATGTGACGAAAAACGAAAGCAACGAACTTACGCCATAATCATCTTATTACCATAATCAATTATAAACCCTACTTCCATTACCACTATTCAACATTAAATTAAAACATTAAAATTCAATAACTATTTACTGTAAACAATTTTAACTTTATTAACACTTCTTGCTGTGCTGAAAAACAACTTTATATAAAGAAATGACTAAAAATGAATTTTTGTGATGTGCACAATTTTTCTTAAATTTTTCTCACATCTTAAAAAACAATTTTATGTAAAAAAAAAAATATTAAAAATCTTTATGACTTGCAAAATTTTCAGTAAATTTTTCTCAAATCTTGAAAAACAATTCCATGTAAAAAAAATGACTAAAAATCATTACTTGTGATATATAAAATTCTTATTAAATCTTCTCATACATATATAAACAAAATATTGAACATTGCAGTATTTATGAAACATACATTTCAAAAACTTGTTCTCAAAATTTTATAATAAGATCAGAAATGTAACAAGGTTAAATTAAATTCAATAGTAGTGTAAAATGATTTAGTTTAAACCAGTGATAATTTATTAATTCCTAAATATACAGTCCCTTTCAATTATTTCTCGTTAACCCGGATAAAAACTCCCGAAACTGCAACCTTCACGTCAGAGCGAATTCCCGGTGTGGGTGAAATGTTATTTCACTTTTATTTCCGGCGAAGGGGGCGAAGCGATAAAATCGTCGAGAACAGGGAAGCGACCCCATGTTTAAAGGGTTGAAAATCGAAACTCCAGCATTGTTCCCCGTCGCAGACCACTTTCGATGCGCTACGTGCAAACGTAATCATCGCGATCTGAAAACAATCTCTATTCTTTTTTCTCCTTTGTTCTTGGGGTGCACTCTATGAAAGTGTAATGGCGGACGTTGTATTTAATCGACGATGGTGCGTGCAAAGGCTGATCGATACGATCTTCGTTGCTCGGTTTGCGGTCGCTGAAATGATGACTAGGATGGTTGCGATGCTTATCGGGATTAAGGTGAATTTATGGAGGTGTCGGTGAATTAAAATATTAAGGATTTATGGGAGATTATAGATATGGGGAAGGTGGGGTTTGGAGGAGGTGGGATTTGGGGAATTTGGTATTTGGGGATTTGGGATTTGGGAAATTTGGGATTTGGGGAATTTGGAATTTGGGGAATTTGGGATTTGAGGAATTTGGGATTTGGGGAATTTGGG